TCCCTTTTATTTTTAGGAAATTATTCAAAATCTACCTTATTTCATATTTTGAATGGTACAGATTGACCACTTTTCTTTTACATGTTATCATAAATAATAGTGGTAATGCTTAAAATACAGTTTCGAAGTCTTTTATATTGTGGCTCATTTAACAATAATTTAATATTTTAAATACTCTTTTAACACTTCTAATTGAATTAACAATAAAATATTATTCAAATAATTGATTTTTCGAAAATATTTCAATAAATAAATCAATACATGGCAAAGTAAAGAGCATAATTAGATTGCTATCCTAATAAAAAAATAATGGCAATAAACCATCCACCCTATACAAATTATAACAAAATACTTAAAACGTAAGAAATTTATGTAGTTTATGCCCCTGTTTGACTCTATTTTTTAGAAATGAAAATGGGTGGAATAATTTTTTTTTAAATGAGTGGTTAAAAAAGAAGGGAAAGCTTTTAATTTATGAATAATATTATTTTATAAAAAATTGTGTTGTTAAAAATAGGAGAGAGAAAAATGAAATGTAATAGAATGAAAATTAGGGCCTGTTTGATTGGTCCTTGTTTTTCCTAGAAAATGGAAATGTAATTTCTTTTCTCACAAAATGTCATGTTTGATAGCCTTTTTATTCCATGGAATTGGAATTCCACTAACTGCTGTCACATCAGCATTTTTCTTCTATTGATAGAATTTCAATTCTCACCAAAATTGTGAGAATTTGAATTTCAGCTTTTTTTTTTTTACAATGAAAACAAATTCTAAGAATTATTGTAAAAAAATATTTTCCTTTAATTGACAATTTCAATGTAAAACAAAGTCAAATGAACACCAAAAGATAGATGATTTTTTTGATTTTTTTTTTTTGGGTTCTGGCAATGGAAACAAATTTTGTCTCCAATACCAGTAAATTTTATCCCTTTAATTGACAATTTTCATGTTACACAAAGCAAAAAGAACACCAAAAAATATTTTTATTTCAACATTTTTCAGGTGAAAAATTATACAAATTAAATACAATAATTTACAACTCCCAGAAAAACGGTTTCTAGACAATTGAATTCTTTGAAATTTGTTTTCTAGACAATTCAATTCTACATTTACAATCAAATGGACCCTTAATGAGTTTCGAACGAGGGCTATTTAAACTCAGCTTGTTGAATCTTCATTTTCTTGCCAAATGCCAATTATATGTTAAAGCGAAAATGATTAAAACTAGTTATAATTTCAACCTATAAATATTTGGAAAACTTAATCATGTTACTCATCACATCCAAGAAAGAAAGCATTTCACTTACAACTATCAAATTTTTAAGTACTTATTTAACATAAAATCACAACTAGAGTCCCCCATCTTGTACTCCCAATAATTATACAAATCAATTAAATATTTAAGTATTGTGAAAAATTGATAGTCCAAATAATTGTTTGTTGTTGATTTAGTTAGAAGTGTTAAATGTGTATTTTAGATATTACACTATTGTTCGTAAGAGTATTTAAGCATTACCGTTGTTATACCTATCGCATTAAAGAAAATTGGTTGATGGATCTATTCATTACTCAAAACTTGGAGTAATGAAGATTTATGTAATTTTCGAAATAGAAAAGGTGACTATGATATTATCACAAACTTTAGGAGAGGGATGCGATATTCAAAACTTGAAATAAGGGAGGTTTGTGTAAATTTTTAAAAGGGAGAGGTGTCCCTAAAATTTTCATAAACATAAAAGGAGGTATGTGTTATTAAAAATTTGAGAAAATGAAATTTTATTTAAATTTTCAAAGTGAGAAAATGTTTATTAAATTATCAGAAACCTTCAAAATGATTTATGTAATTTGCCCAAATATTTTAGTAGAAATGTGGGTTGCACACAACTATTAGAAGCCATTAATCAGTTGCTGCTGCAACATAAGTCATCCATGTTTCATTCATAATTCACTCGAAATCAACAGTTGTGATATCAATGTTAAAAGTGTGAGAAAAGTCTAAAAGAAATGAAGGATTTTAACTAAGAAAAGAATTCTTGCATACAATTCAAATTTCTACTAATAGGCAATACACCACACAGAAATCAGCCACAAATCTTAACATATAAAGAACCTTAATTATTATAGTTTTGAAAATTTGGATGATAAAATGAATTTTGGCTCCCCGTCTGGCTCCCTATTCTCTTTTATTTTTTCCCTCTTATTTTCAACCATACAATCTTTTATAAAATAATTTTATACGTTAATCGAATTTTTTTAATTCTTTTTTCAACCACACGTTCTTAAGAAAAACACTATTCCAAACATTAAAATTTGAAAAAAAAAAAATTTGGGAGCCAAACGGGGCTTGATATCTTCATTGGTTTAAGAGTAGTGCTTCATGTACACCTAGTGCCTCTCACATGGGGGGCCCCAACTAGGAATAAAGGCAAATAAAAAAATGGGCGGGCCCCGCTACAGAGAGTGTCAACCGGACTGTACACTTTTTAACGTACAAATGGTAAATTCCTTGGTTTAACGTCAACTCCTCCTCAAGACTCCCACCCCAAACTAACATTGAATTTGATTTGGCATGTAACAATGTAAATGCAAGATATACAACAAAACCAATAATAGAACACATCATTTTTTATCTGGAATATCACATGCTTGGATAGCATATGAACGAGGGGAAGAAAAGACATTGTTAGATTAAAGATAATAAGGTGGGTGTGCAAGAAGTAACGTAGCAATTGGTGAAAAACGTCAAAAAAGGTTAAAGTTGGTGGCTGAGATTAAATTCAAAATGCCGCGGTAGAATCAACCTAATAGGTGGTCAAAAAAAGTTACAAGAGGAATGGGGCTAGTGGGTGCAGGCAAGGTGACAAATGTAAATTTCTTCATTACTCGTAATTAAAAGATATACGGAATAGTTAAAAAAATGTTTTATTCCAATTAAGTCGTGACGGTAAAAGTTATTAGAAATGATTGATCACATATTACGAATGAAATTCTCATATTTGTAAATTGTATATAATCACTTAATTCATTTTTAATTTGCACATTTTGAGAAATCCTCATATAGTATATTCATCACTCTATTTTATATATTTTATGATATAAATTGTTCATAAATACTTTCAAACACGCTCAAAATCCTCATATAGTATATTCATCACTCAATTTTATATATTTTATGATATAAATTGTTCATAAATACTTTCAAACACGCTCTTAAGCACATATGATATCATATAATAAAGGAAAAATTGCAATTGAGGTACCAAATTTTTCGTTTATTAGCAGATTTTGCCCAAACCTTTAGTTTTTGCCACCCACAATCCCAAACCTTTAAAAAATATGCACCGGGAGTTCAAAATGAATGGAAACCATCTGTTTGACCGTTAGTTGACCAATAAAATTGAATTTTGACCAATTTTTGACTAATTTAAAAGGGTAGAAAGGTAAATTTGTTATTTAATTTTATAATAAAATAAATAAACTAATATATCAAATAAAAATAAAAGAAACTATTATTCATCTTCTTCTCCCCCCACCCCACCCCACCCCACCCCCTGATAAAAAATGCTGGAAGAACTGGGCTTTTACTCCGCCGATCCATTTTCTATTCCACCCCCTGATCTCAATCGAGTCATCTTCTCTGAGCCATCGGAAGCCTCCACATGGGTCCCACTTCCGCCACAGCCTGCCACCATATCAAACCTCGTGGCTTTTACTAGCAATACAGGTACTTCCACTAGCCCCCTTGAATCTTCACCGTCAAAAAATCCATTTCTAAATGCCTTAGTAGAGTGTGCTCAACTCTCGGAAATAGACCCAGAAAATGCAATGAAATCCTTGATTCAACTGAGGGACTCGGTCTCCCAACACAGGGATCGCATAGAGCGAGTTGCTTATTATTTCCACCAAGCTCTCTACAGCAGAGTCTCCACTGCAGCAGAGGGAACTCCAAATGTTTACAATGCTTACTTGACTTTTTTTCTTTTATCATAGCAAGTGTCATTTTCTATATACGGGTTGAATTTGAAGGAATTTGAAAGGAAAGCATGGGCTCTTTCTGCTGCTAGCTTGTCAGTTGTGGAGTTGCTTTTGGGTTCAAACCATAGGTCCTATACGGTTAATCCTATTTGACCTCCTTGTTGCTTCTGGAATTTACCAACACGAATGAGTTCGGTGAGTTTGGAATTTACCAACACGAATGAGTTTGGTGTTAGGGACAAATGAAATGCAGAATCAGTTTCAAGCACAAAATTGCAGGTGGTGGGGTGTGGGTGGGGGAAGAAGAAGAAGAAGATGAATAGTAGTTTCTTTTATTTTTATTTGATATATTAGTTTATTTGTTTTATTAAATAATTAAATAGTAAATTTACCTTTCTACCCTTTTAAGTTGGTCAAAAATTGGTCAAAATTCAATTTTATTGGTCAACTAATAGTCAAACGGACGGTTTCCATCAATTTGAACCCCCGGTGTATATTTTTGAAAGGTTTGAGAATGTGGTTGGCACAAACTAAAAATTTGGACAAAGTCTATTAATAAACGAAATGTTTGATACCTCGACTGCAATTTTCCCTATAATAAACTAAACCTGTGCATATAAACGAAAGGACGAAACCCCACATTTTTTGAAACAAAGACAGTAATTTGTCTCTTGATACTCATTAAGTTGTATTCAAATTTTATTCTTGAGATAAATTTCGATAATGTTGTTAGATGGGGTAAAAAAACACAATTGCCTTTAGCACTTGGAGATGTGTATATATACATTTATATGTATATGTATACTCAAAATTTTTCTTTTACTTTCTAAATCACACTTTTTTCAAAAATTTAGTAGTCAAAATATATATATTTTTTCAATAATGGTAATCAAATATGGCTTATGTTGATTGTCATGATTAATAATCAAAATTAAACTAATTAATCACCTAACAATCAAAAGGTTACTGTAGTCAATTCACACAACTAATTGATTTCTCCCAATTATTAATCAAAAATTAATTTAAAAAAGTTCAATTCCATTTCTGAACCCTCACTCCCAGACATCTTCAGCCGTTCTTCCCTGCCGAATTAAAAACCCTATTCATTTTGAAACCCTAGTTCTTCATCTACTCTCCGATTGCATAATCTAGGGTTCTATTGCCCTAGAAAAGATATCCGCTTTATATAAAGTAGTATATGTATACATTTGTTTCTGTCATTGTTGTCTTGGTTAAATAGAATTTGGAGATGGTATCGGGTTCAAGAACCGAGGTCGGTCCTCAAATTCTATCGGCGGGTGTGCGGAAGACCATACAGTCAATTAAAGAAATTGTGGGCAATCACTCTGATGCAGAAATATATGTTGCACTCAGAGAAACGAACATGGATCCTAATGAAACCACTCAAAAATTGCTCAGTCAAGGTTCCCTTTTTCTAACTGTTTTCGTCATTTTGACCCTTTTTTGCTTTGGCAAATTTTCTTGATTTGTTTTGTTTTTAGTGCATATGATTATTGAGTTTTCTCATTACTTGGGTGGCGGAGGTAGTATTTGATATAAAGCTAGTGGCTTAGGTCGTGCCAAAGTATGTCGCAGTGTTGAAGAAGCATTTCTCACCACAGACTCGGTATTGTTAAATAGGATCAATCACATGCATTGCCTTGACTAAAGAGGAATATATTATCCAGGTAAGGGAAGTGGACGCATGGTGTATAGGTTATATTTTTGCATCATCAAATATACTACTGCCAAGTGCCGGATTGTGTTTGACATACGCTGACCAGTGCTAGTATTGTGTACTGGACTCCTTAGTGTCAGATATGCAGTGTTCAATTTGATCTTTTTTAGTCTAAGGAAACTTCAGACGGATATCCATCTTACCAATCAATTCTACATGTGGCTGGTGAAAAGTTCATGTTGGATGTTATTGGACTCTGAATTCTTGGAAGGCTATGAAATTAGACATGCCTAATGCTTTAAACTGGGTAAAACGTCCGAAAGGATCATGGTTGGTGGTTGTGATCACATTAAATTTAATGTAGCTGTTGTAAGTGCTGTACTAGTTGGTGATTACACCCAAACTCATTCCTTCCCTTTGAGTCGAGGATATAGAAACTTTTCTTGGATGTTACCAGTCTAAGCAGGATCAATGATGCTTGGACTCTCCAAAAATGGCAAAGTATCCATGTCAACACGACATGACATGGATATCGACATGGGATATGTGTTAGATTCTCAGTTTTGAACTTGGACACGGCTGGAAAAGGGAAAAAACAATGGACGGTGGAGTATTGCTTCTGGCTTGCATTTGTGGCGGCAACAACCAATTGTTTCGAGTCTTGTGATAGAAATATGTAGAAATTTATGGAGGATTGTAGCAACATTTGCGGAATTTTGTAGAAAGGGGAAGATGAGAGTTGGAGAAGACAATCGATTGGAGAAGAATATAGGTTTTGGTTGTGTATTAAATGGGCTTATTATGAGGGAATTTCCGTAACCAATTGGGCTGCCCTTCAATAAGTGTATTTTTCCGATAAAGAAAAAAAGAAATAAATGAAAGAATTAAATGGTTTAAAAGTCAACAATTCATACTGCCATAAATTAGGGATTATCTCTAAAGGTTTTATTAGTTATTGTAAATTGCATGATTTGTTGTTTGCTTTAATTGAATCATTATTTTAGGAAAAAAATTATAAGACATATCCCCGTACTGGTATCCAAAACTCAGATCCTTTTTAACCGTATTCTCATATCTTAATTTTTAAAATGAGAAGAATCCGACTCCTATATATGTACCCGTATCCGACACCCGCATCCGAGTTTGAGCATCATAGAGCAGGATAAATGTACCTTAATAAAATTGATCATTCTTTAAGAAGGAGATATTGTTGGTGGATGTGATTCTATAGAGGGGCCAAGGCGACATACGTAGATCTTGTCATGTCGTGTAATTTAAAGATATATGGGATAGTGAAAAAAGTGGTTAATCTCGTTAGGTCGTGATGGGCAATGGGAGCAGGAGTGACTAATCCCGTATAGTAAAGAATGGAGTTCTCTTCAGAATGTAAGTTCTCATATATTAAACAAAATCAAATGCCTATAAATAAATGATGACAGGTGTTGACACGATTCCCTTCCCATTCTTAGAACCAAAGCCACGTTAACCAAAGCCACGTTAACAGACTTTCAATACATGTCAAACCTACAAGTTTTATGCTTGAGACAATTTTTGGTGATGCAATTAGTAGGAGGTTGAAGGAAAATGACAGTCCTTTAGCACTTGGAGATTATCAAGCAATAAGTTTTTCTTTCTGTATAAAAGAATTTGATAAAAGAATTTATTTTGTATATTTAGGCTCGGTTTGACTAAATTTATAAATCATGTATAAATGACCAAACTTAATTTTCAACTACATATTCAATAGACTCACAAGTACTTGTCCACTTATACATCACCCATTTCTATCTATCATAAATTAAATTGTTTATAAATTCTTCCCAAGCAAAGGCTTAATGTTGATTTGTCATGATTAGCAATCAAAATTATCTACTAAACAACCTCATCATCAAGGTTTTTAATCAATACATACGATTCAATAAATTCCTCTAGTTATAAATCATAATGTAATTTAAAGAAGAAAAATTTCATTGACAAAACCTAAATTGTATTCTCCCTTGATCTCAAACTCCAGCCATTCATCTTTGATATTATTATATCAAATACTGTATTTTCGTTTATTCTTATTGCAACATGTTTCTCACGCTTCCCACTTGTTTTTGCTCAGATCCGTTTCATGAGGTGAAGAGAAAAAGAGACAAAAAAAAAGAGGTATCATGTTTGCTGCGTATTTTGTTCTCATTTTTATGTGGATCAATTTTTACATATTGTGTGAATTAACTTCAAACCTTGTTTTATGCTTAATTCCCACTGCTTTCTAATTCTTAATTATTTAGTTTTATTATTTTTACGGCTACTTTGCTTAAAATTTTAAATTTATTTAGCCGTTCACATGTTTATTTTGTGTCTTAAAAATTATACCAGTTCAATATTATGATTTGTGATCTGTTCTCATGTATTGATCAACATCTAAAACAAGCTAATTTTTAGAATTCTGTCTCAGGTTTCAGGATATAAGAGTCCTGTTGCGGCAGAGCCCAGCATAAATTCTGAGGTTGTAAGCTTACCAGTGAAATCAAATGCACATTTTGGTCAGAATGCTCGAAGAGGTGGATATACTCGAAATATCTTACCTGGTAACGCACTCTCATGTTTGTATGAAGCTTTCAGTTGCATATGCCAATCCCATATTTGATTCTTAGAGGAAATTAAAGCATCAAGTCCGCTAGCTCTATGTTCAATTTGTAGTCCTTAGGCATTGTCTTTTTTACAGCTTGTGGAAATTTGTGGAATTGTATTACTGGTAGCTTTGATATGCTTATGAACCAAGATGCCTAGTTTTTCAAACCTTTAGTTATCAACATTTAAGTTGACTTCTGAAAACATTGTTTATACTTGTGAAAAGCGAATTCTTGAGAAAATATTATTCATATTTTTGAATGACCAATTCTGTTTTCTTCTTGTTTTTCATCACTGTTGGTAGGATCTTTTTGAACAAAATAAAAGGTCAGATTTGCCACAAGAAACATAAATGGATTAATGGAGCAGCAATTACATAACACCCAATGTTTAAAAAGTCTCAATTTATGTACCGAGGTGTTTCACGTTTGGCTACTGTCGTAACCTGTAAGCCTCTAGGCATTTAAGGTGCAAGCTTCTGCAATTAAGTAATTCAAAATAATTTGATAACATAAAAAATATGCTGATTATAAATCATAAACCATCTTAAAACTTCATTAAATCATGATAAAAGTTGATGAAATACGTGGTCGAAAAGTTGTGGGTCCCATGAAATGTATGGTTAAATTTAAGTGTTGACTTTGACTTGGCATTTTAATCTGATTTTAATTTACACCAAACAAGGGCTTAATTTAGTTAAAAAAAAATTGATTCTAACTTAGTTTTAAATTTGAATGTCTTACAGCATAAAAAATCTTTGACCCCGAAACCTTTTACGTTTTAGTTTCAAGCACTCCTTTCTCAGTTTAGGCCTCCTGTTGTTTTTCATTCTCCATCAAGGCAACCTGCAAACATTAGTCCACTTTAGACTCCGTCATCTGTAGAATTGTGTTCTATTTGCCACATGGTATACAATTATTTGGCATCGAATAGTTTACCTCAATTTTGGGCAATTGTTGGTGTGATTAATTATTAATATATTCATTACAATGGCATTTAATTATTATTCGTTCTCTGTGCAATTTGATAATATCTATACACTAATACTTAATATCTACCCAGTATTTCAGTTACTTATTTTTTGTGCAGAATCATTTTTGTTTTTATTGTACTCAATTCAAATCATATCAGCATTAACTTGTGTTTGATCATGTACCATGAGGCTTGTATGCACTCTGTTCTTTGACAGATCAAATTTCACTAGATGTAGGTGGCAGCAAAGAGTTCCGTGTTGTTCGAGACAATAGAGCTAACCAAAATGCCAGTAAAGATTTAAAGCATTCACAGAGTTCCACTTCTACCAATGAGCGGGTTTCCTCCGATCCTGTCATAAAGAGGTAGACATAATCAAATTATATAGTACAATTTTATGTGGTTGGTCATTTTTTAGTGTAGGCTTTTCAAGAATGCTGGTTTGCATGTGCTCTATGCTCTTAATTGAATTCAAGTAGTACCTAATGTGAGATTGCCCAGTTGACATACATTAAGCTGTCTAATGTGCATTCTGTCTAATGTGCATTCAGTGTGAGAACGAGTAACAGGAAATTGTATTTTACATGTATAATCAATTTTTTTTTTTTTTTTTTTTTTTTTGGGTACTTATTATAGTGTCTAGTTTTCTTTTGCTGGCTTTTGCCCTTTTGGCATGCAGAAAAGTTAGTTTGCTGTTTATTACAGGATTTATTTAGGGGATTTTTGATGTTTAAAGTATCGATTGACCATCCTATTCTCCTCACTCCCCCACCTTTCTACCCAAATTTTTATCTTACGCATGATAGGTATATTAAGTTGTTGAATGTTACAGCAATTCAGCGGGGGCTTCTGGTCATCAAAAGCTGTCAGTTGCTGACCATTCATCTCAAGCTTTAAATGGGCCTGCTGATTTGCAGCCTAGGCAAGCTAGTGATGCAAATTTTGGTGGTAATGACAGGAAGGATTTGCATGGGGAGAAGCAGCTGCCAGTTTCACATGCTGCATCACGGATGCAAATAAGGACGAACGAGTCTCGACCACGCTCAACAACTTCATCTAGTAGTTCTGTGCTTGGTGTTTATTCATCCTCTTCGGATCCTGTTCATGTACCATCATTTAATTCTAGATCAGTTACTAATATTGGGGCAATCAAGCGTGAGGTAGGTGTTGTTGGACCTCGTCGCCAGTCTTCTGAGAATTCTGGTAAGCCTCCATCTTCACAAAGCTCATCCTTTCCAGTTATACAATCTGGACGAGAAGGCTACCCAAGGGAATCGACCCGAACATCTAGTGCTATTTCGAAAGGTGACCAACCCATTCCAAATATGGCAACTGAATCTGCCATACCAGGCCCTTATTTGAACAGATCGTTTTCAAGTAATCAGCATGGTAGCAGACCTCATCAACTTGTGAGTCGTCAGAAAGGTAGATTGTTTGGAAGATAGAATATTTATCTAGATGCTTTGAATTTTATTTATTTTTACTCTGGCCAATCTCAAATTGTTGTGGTTTTAGTCTTCTTGAGTAGCTAGCTATTTTTATTTGGTTGTATTTATGTCTTGTTTCAAATATTTTCTGCTTATAATATATTTTGACTTGTAATAGTAGTTCTGCCCTGTAGATTAGTGTTACATTTACCAGAGTCCAAAGTAGCGGATATCTGAACACCTCTGGATGTGAAGATATATTTATACGTGCATTTAAGGGATCATGTTAAAGAGATAAAATGAGAAAGAACTGGGTAGAAACTGCTGGGTGCTGATTTTTGCTTTATATTGCGACTCTTGTTACCTCGTAGTACAGCTAATAGTCTCTTTTATCGTATCCTTTAATCGTTTCAGGCACAGCTACCTTTATAATTATTTAACAAAATACTTACTAGAGTCCTTTTTATGTAGCTCTTCAGCCTAACAAGGAGTGGAAACCAAAATCAACCTTGAAACCAAGTGTCAATGGACCTGGCGTTATTGGAACTCCTCCAAAAATTGTTTCTCCTCCTGCTGACAATTCTGAAGACTTGAAAAAAGAAACAGATCAGATTCAAGATAGTATGTCTCAATTGAACATCTCCGAGAATCAGAACGTGATCATAGCTGCACATATTCGTGTATCTGATGCAGACCGATGTCGGCTGACCTTTGGCAGCTTGGGGACTGAATTTGAATCTACAGTAGATTCAGTTTTCCACATAGTTGAGGGTGCTGAAGAATCAAGTACTGAACAATCTCGAAGGTTTGTTTGGTGGCTATTTATTTAATTTCCTCACAATGTGCTCATAGTTGGAAGACGTGACATTTTATCTTTATGTTGTTTTGAAATTAATAGTCACGAGTGCTCTGTCTATCTCCTTTAAAGTATCCTTTTTGGAAAATTAACATAAGCACTTAGCTATAAGGGCGCATGACATCCTTGGGGTTCCTCTGTGTGCATAATTTTTTCTAATGCAACTTCATAACTTTGGAAGAGTTAATTTTCAAAAAATATGAAGCACTTGGGATGACACTTGAATTTTAGTGCTAGTGTCTCCAGTTGGGAAATGCCACTGGTAGCTTCCTTTTAAGGTATTTGGTCCTTGTAAAGTAAAAGCTGCTTTTGATTTCTTGAATTAGAGTAGCATGATATTTGAATTATTTTCTAGATCTTTGACAGCTTAAATCTCATTTTATTTCATTTTCTCCTTTAGTTTAATATTGGGTATGATTTACTAGCAGTCATAGGTGAATTGATAAGTGATTTCAATGGCAGTGTGTCAGCCTCAGGGACAGAATCTTCTACCGAGGAGCCTGCTGGTGGCAAACAGTTGGAGTTGATGGATGACCATGTCAGCAAGTCACGATCTAACTCTCCTGCATCGGGTGCAGCATCTGATCATCAATTGTCTGAGAACAAAGAATCTTTAAGTCCTGGGAACTTGGACAACTATGTTGATGTTGGGTTGGTTCGGAACAACAGTGCTTATTCTCCGGAGTTGCTACAAACTCAAGATACTTCTGCATTGCAGAGCTTCTCAGTGAGTCCAGTGTTTACTATGACTGAACTGCTTATCTTGAGAAATTTTTGTTGTGTGTTTGATTTGATTGGTTCTTCATCATTATAAGCAGGAATGCTGTTATTCCTCTAATTGTCCTTGTCCAGATCACTATCCTTGTTACTTTTTGTAATGATTTCCACTCATGCAGTCATATGAAACCCAGATGGGATATGATATGCCATACTTTCGTCCGCTGGTTGATGAAACAGTTCGGGGACCTAGTTTACCATCTCAGCAGGAGGTACAATTATTCGGTTTGACGCGATAAAATGAATTTACTCCTTTTCTATTCATATCTCCCCCCCCCCCCCCCCCCCCCCCCCCCCCCCCTTCCCTCCTCTATCTCTCATACGCACACACCCTTCTCCACTGATCCCATCTGTATAATCCTGTAGTCGTTAAGTCCTGTTTACCTTATTGACACCTAATAGAATCTTATGGGAAAATTTATCTTTTTTTTCTCAAGGTTATTTCAGTTTCATTTTTTCTTGGGCTGCCACATATCTTATCTTACTGTGTACTGCATCAGAGAGCTTATTTAGTTATTGTTTGGATTGCTTTTGTTCTCAGGTATTGGGGCGTACAGCAAACAGCATTCCTGCATCCTCTATTCCCATGGTACAACAGCAACAGCAGCAACAACAGCTTGCCCAGATGTACCCCCAAGTTCATGTCCCTCATTTTACCAATCTTATGCCGTATCATCGGCAGTTCATCTCTCCTGTCTATGTTCCTCCAATGCCCGTGCCTGGTTACTCTGGTACTTCTGCCTACCCCCATCCGTCAAATGGAAGCAATTACTTGGTGATGCCCGGAAATAGCTCTCATCTAACTGCAAGTGGCCTCAAGTATGGAGTCCAGCAATATAAGCCTGTTCCCACTGGTAATCCTACTGGGTTTGGGAATTTCACTAACCCATCTGGTTATGCTATCAACACTCCTGGTGTTGTTGGAAGTGCCACAGGGCATGAAGAATCATCTCGGCTCAAGTACAAAGATAGCAATCTTTACGTCCCAAACGCCCAGGTGAATATGACTTCCTCAACCTTTGTATTATTATTATATGGGATGTACTATATTATTAAGTTACATGATTAACTTAATAGTTTGCTTTACTAAAGCTTAATTACATTGAGATTGATGTTGGCACAATATCTTTTTGTTTTTGTGGGAGTTCTATACAACATCCTTGTGACTTTTGATGCTTCATGCTTCTGTAGTGACTAAAATCTGTCAACTTGAAAATAGATTAACAAAAGTCTTAAGTTCGTTATATCATGTTACACAAATATTGTGCTATCTGTTATTCCTGGTCTCATTCTGAGGCATATGGCATAGGAAACTAAAATTAAACAAGAATGTGATATTGAAACTTCTGGCTTTTATTGTTTGCTAACATCAATTCGTTCAGATTAGAAGCATGTAGCAGTGTACGTGCTTTGGAATTATTCTTCATATAAAATGTTTGCATGGTTTTGAAGAACCACGGCATTCTTTCTTTGTTATCTTCTGACTTGGAAATGCGCAAGAAAACCTTCTTGTTTTTCTCTTCTTTCTTATTCTTCTAAATATTTTCTTTTCGTTGATTGCTCGGTGGTTCATTGACTATGGATATGATGAAATTGTGTTCCAATTTTGAATATGTTTTGCTGTTCTGATTATAATTTTTTTATTTTATTTATTTTTATTTTTTATTTTTTTTGGTGCAAGATTCATTTTTATGTTTTTGACGTTACAGGCAGAGACGTCTGAAATGTGGATAAACCCCCGGGATCTTTCCAGTCTGCAGCCCACTTCTTATTACAACATGCCTGGGCCAACCCCTCATGCTGCTTACTTGCCAAATCACAATGGCCACACCTCTTTTAATGCAGCTCAATCTTCTCACATGCAGTTTCCAGGAATGTACCATCCTCCTACTCAGGCAACTGCAATGGCCAGTCCTCATCATTTGGGGGCTGCCATTGGCGGTAATGTTAATGTTGGGGTTGGTGTGGCTGCAGCAGCTCCCGGAGCACAACCGGCTGCCTATCAGCAACCTCAATTGGGTCATCTAAGTTGGCCAGGAAACTTCTGAGTTGCTTTGGCCTCCCTTGGATCCTATGGATTGGCAATGAATATGAAATTCTAAAATTTTGCTATCAATGTGAAGGACACTCGTCTTTTCTAATCAAATGATATCTTTCTAATCAATGCATCTAGATGTGTTGAAATTTTGTCCAGCAAATGATATGAAGAAAAGCCAGCTTACATTGCCCAAAAACCAAAGTGCAGTTTTGAGAAAAGAAACCATTAGGGGTAGACATGGTTTCATATGGTTTTGATTCCAAGAGAATTAAACCGAACAATGAACCAATGGTTTTTTTGATAATGAAACTAATTGGTTTTTCCTTTTTTTTTTTTTAAAGATATGAAACCAAATTGAACCGAACATTTCGGTTCTGGTTTTGTTCTAATTTCATTTCTTAAATTTTTAAATTTACATCATATAAATTAGTAATGTATACCTAAATAAGAAAATAACATCAAACATTTAAGAAGTTCAAATGTCAATTATCGAGATCAAAAAAGTTATAACTAACAAACAAAATATATTCATAATTTGAATATGTAAATCAGTTTTCGTTTTCATACAAAAAATTGTTTAGTAAGTAATAGTAATGATTCATTAAATTAATTGCAGTAGTTTTGAAGGCACACTTCTATAATAAAGAATGAATTATCAAATTTTTTACAGTCCACTTCTATAGGCAACATTAACCGTTTAATATTTCATGGCTATTTATTGGGTTTTCCTCTATTTGTGAAGAACACAAATAACTCATCAAACAATCAAGGTAAAAAGAGAGTTTAGAGATTTTTTAAGTAACTGACCAATTTTATTTTTTGATCTTAAATGACACTCCACTAACTTTCGAACTAGAACTGAACCAGAACTAAAATCAAAACCAAATGATTCTCTGTTCGAAGAATCAAAACCATTAATTTTTTTGATAGAATTGAACTGAACCGCTTGGTTTGGTTTGGTCTGGACATTTTGTCCACCCCTAGAAATCATTAACTAGGCTAGATCTTGATTTTTAACTTACCCACATTTTGTTCTGCACAAATTTCTTACAATTGCAAGATGTGGATTTGCATATTTGGAAAAAAAGGATTAACTCTCAAATATCGTCTTTACAGCTTGAAGCATTGCAAAGAAAGTAAAAGGCAATAAGGTGGTCTTGGATCTGGAGACTCGTTTTGAAAATTGGAGCGTTCTACTTTAGATTGTCTTGTACGTGTGAACATCAAAACATAATGGTGACGTTTCGATCTTCCTTTCGCAAAGAGGAAAAGTTAAAGGGTGGGATGTTCGAATTCTTCATCGGGATCGCCAACACACCTTCCTTTTTGCTCTTTTATCATTGTCTTTAACAAAAAATAAAGCAATCACACCCTATGTGGATTGGTATTAGCCATGACAAAAGTGTTCACTTCTAATATTTATGTGAGCGACAGAAAATTGATAAATGAACAACACTATGACAGCCCACGTGGCAGTCTCTTTTTAAGCAACTCGATAAAATTCCATAATTTGATGTTATCAAGTAATGATCCTACTTTATGTAGGCTGTTGTTCATCAACACTATTGTTAAACATACCATCGAGTCTAATTCTCTGGACTCCCAAGCCAATGTGAATTGACGGGCCTTTGTAGGTCACTTCTTACTCTAATCGTACTAGGATATCATTTACTTTTAAGTTGCAACGATCAAAGTACCTGAAAAATTTAAGAGTTATATAGTCAAATGAGAAATTAACATATCGACTCTTCGAACGATGTTTTAGACATCTATTTAGCCCTTGTTTGGTGGCCTTTAATTTAAAAAACTATGTTTTGAATGGTATATTTTGGAGAACGTGACATTAAAAAGTTGAAAGAAATTTTAACTGTGCGAATGTGTAGTTGAAAATGAATATGAGATATAAATTAAATTAAAGTAAATAGGGGTTTGTGCAGGTTGTACAGGGCCACAGCTTTGTTGAAACAAGATCGATGATTTAGCTGCAGGGTGATAAATGGCAAGTTGTCACGCGGTGGCTGTTTATGGCCAAGGCCACGCGCCACCTGCACGCACCACCTGTGAATATTAGACCATAAATTAACGGCGTTCGTGCAGGCTGTCATCGAATCTTAAGCAGGAGTTGTTTTTTTGGCCCACTTATGAAGCCAACATCCGTAAACTGTTCTCAGTTTCTTGCTGCCTTAATTCATTTCATTTCCACCTCTATTCATATAATGTTGTAATTTTATGGTAATTAGTAATAAAATTTGCACATTTCTCTTAGGGTTAAATCGACCCTCTTTGTTGAATTTGTCAAAATGGATATAATAATTTAAAGATATGGTACTCGAAAATTGTTAGTAAAAAAGGGTTAGAGAGTGGAAAAGAAGCTCGATGATTGAAAATTATACAGATACACATATATGATTAAATAATAATATAACTCATGTAGTAATATATAAATTTGAGTGTGTATATAATTAATATGAACCATAATTTGATAAGTTAATTACATTGATTTATTATGTGCTATTTGAACGGCAAGTCACATAAACTTTAACTTTATAGATGCTATGTATGCGCTGGTATGAATTAAAAGTGAAAAGAAAATTGATCGTTAACGGGTTAGAGGTGTAAATCGGATTGAAGGGGCACCTATCCACCCGGCACATCTAGAAATTGTGAAGTACAAGAGGGATCAAATCGATCTTGTTGTGAAGTGCAAGAGCAATTGATCTGATTAGAGGTACAAAATGGGTTGGCGTAGACTACCTATAAGCCTAACACGCCTAAAAATTGCAAACCTTAAAAAATATGAACCTTGAAAGTGACGGGGATCGGTTTATTGTTTCATTTTCAGTTATTTTTCCCATTAAACAACAAAAAATGAAAAGAGTGCCAAGGACTTGGGATGGACCAGGTAAAATTTGGTTCTATTATTCGATTTCATTCTCACTTCTAGCTGCGATTTACCAAAAACACTTTGCAAAAGAAGGAAGGGAATCCTTTTTAGAGATATAAAGAGATGAAAATCTTTTTCAACCGTCCAAATAATCCTAAATCAATTCGATTCGATTAGTGCGTTAACTTGTTACCTGTTAATGTGTTGAAACCACATCTGTCCTCTTGTATTCATTTCCAAACAAAAGTAGAATGATTTACAGAGTACAACGTGCTTGGAGAAAAATTAGTTCCATTAAAGAGCATGCATATTGCCATAGTGCACTTTAGCCTATTCTTACATCAACATGTCAAATCTAATACCATGGTGGAGTCTCGAGTCTAATTCCACCATGCATGTAAGTGGTGGGGGATGGGGTGGCGAGGAGAAGATTGTTATAATGGACGATGTTTCTTCTTTAATAATATCTTACAACTTTAATAGGAGGACATGTGGTCTAACCTCTTATCACGTCTAGTAATAAATTTTTTTGTCTGACTGTAACTGTCTTCCTCGAAGCACATCAATACCTATCCAAAATTTAATTTTGATATATTCAGTAACTCGTTGATATCTTGATGGAAAATTTTACAAAAAGAGCTTTTTTCTTCCATGGATTTGGCATATCAAATTCACATCTAATCTAATGTATATGAGTTAGTGTAATGTGTGTATTCTCAACTAGGTAATTATTCCACTATCTGCATGAAATAATTTTGTGTACCCTATATAATGCACCCATGATCTGAAAAGAATCTTAAGCTAGTCTTCTCAATATTGATGTTATCTCATTTGTGTGTGAAATGTTCATATTGTACGGTCCATTGCACTTTATTTCTTGAGATTTTGTTTCCATTTGTTCAAGTACTATAAGTTACTACAATTTTTGTTTTCTCGAGTCGCTCTTATTTAAACGTTCAATTTGTTTAAAATTATTACCTAGTAGAATACTTTCATACTATGATAATCGTCATTAAGTAATTTACAATTGTACAACTTTTAAGTATGTTGCTTTCAATCGTTATTCTTTTCGTGGATTTCTCAAGTGTACGAATTGTCACAAGTAATATAATGACAAGTAAAATGTCGTTCGCCTGAGGACTTTGAAAGTACTAAAATTAGCTATCCTAACTTTACTAGAACTACCAATATGAGAAAAGAGAATTTTATCTAATTAAATTAATGACTAAACTTATATGAAATTAAGAAATCTACGTAGTGTGATGGACAATCTTGACTTTTGACTTTAATTTATTGAATAAAAGTGTTAGGTCTCACAATTTCACCTAAGTTGTTCTCTTTTAACTAATATGCGTCTCTCAAATTTAAATAGTCATATCTAGGTAAGTTACTATGCCCCTACTCGATGCACATTAAAATCAAAATTTTGATTAATTATTCTTTCTTTTTTTTTTCTTTTTTTTTTTTATAAAATTTGATAAAATATATGGTTGAAAAATTATGGATCCCATTTAATTGTTGATTTTTAACTGAAATTTTAATTTGATTTTGATCTAAACTAAAGAAGGGCTATATTTCTATGTAAATCTGGATAAGTCTTAACTAAATGCATTAAATCATTTAGTAAATCAAAGACCGCAACAATAGTAATCACTTATCTCTGCCTTTTATCAAATTGACAAATTTTTATTACGTGCTCTAGATTAGTAAACTTGTTTCTCGACTTGTTACAATCCACAAATTATTGAAATATTGGCCAAATATTCTCAAGCGATAATTGAAGAAGCATAATCAATACTTTAATAACTTAAAAATCCAAAGCTTGAAACTTGAAATTAAAGATTCAAAATTAGGTTATACCGTTCGTCCCAACAAAAAGTTTAGCAACCATATAGAAGAGGAAACACAAATTAAAGAAGTAGAATACATCATCGGGTTTTAAAGGAAAACAAGAAAGATTCTTAGAAGTGTAAAGCTTAGTAACAAATTTAAAACAAAATAAAGTTCAATCATCAACCATAAAAATTAGAAAATTTGTTCAATAACGACTCTCGTTTTAAACCCCTAATCTTTCTCTACTTTAATCTTTTCTTTATCTCATAAATCTTAATTAAATCATCTCTATCATTCCAATCCTCCATCCAAATGCTCCAAAACTCCCCACTCCAAGTAAAGGCTAAGAGCCACGAGTGCTATCATTGTGCATATAAGAATCACACTATGTGTCCACACACCTACACACGCATGCACATATAAAATTATTATTAAACGTATATCCATATTGACCTTTTTCCTTTATTTTATTAATCGATCACATTAATGACACAAATCATTTAAAAGAAATAAATTTTTTGTTGAAGCATACCTTCTGTTTTCAGGATTATCATCTATAATATTGTTGAAAATTGGACTTTAGAGTAATTAATTTGATTATATTAATTAATAAGATTAATTTTTTATCCTAAATTGCGCGTGTAAGCACACACGCTTAGGGAATATATATTGTTGGCTGTAGAAGCCAAGTAATTTACAAGGAATCTCTATGCTAGTTGATGTATAACTAAGCTACATAATACCAATAATGATGAAAAAAAGTTAAAATTGTAATGAATAAAACTTCTTTTCATAATATCAAGAGAAACATTAATACGAGAAAATTAAAATTAATGAAAGAACATACGATTTAAAGTAGTTCACTCAATGTAAAACTACGTTTATTTATTGATTCAGAGTTTCCTAATAATGAAGAAAATGATAATTATGATATAGAGTTAGATTTATCTATAGTGATGCTCTATATAAGAATAATCTCCATGTAATCATAAAAAAATTGATTCCAACTTGACAAATTATAAATAAAAATAACAATAATAATACTGTAATTTTTCTAGATCTCCCCACAAGTCTACATCAATGAGTGTTGTCTCAAGTGTTGCTATATTACTCATGGCAAACAGAAATGGAATCACACTCCAACACCAAAGCTCTGTTTTAGCTGTTAAATTCAACTGTGTAATCTGTTTAGTGTTCTTATTAAATGTTCTTCACATGATCGTGTTTGCCTCCATTAATCTCTTTTCCAGACGTTTTTTACTCTTCCAAAGCAGACAATAAATAGACTTCATTATCATTTACAATCCCTTCTTGTGTTCCTCAATACTCCATTTCTATACTATAAAAATCTGTACTCATGGAGGGTTATGCAGGTTACAGAAAGGAGAGAGAACTCAATTCACATTCACATTCTAACCCAAACCCTTCTTTTTCTTCCACACTTCTTGATGCAATTTATCGTTCGATCGACGAGGGTGAAGAGAAATTAGTAGTAAACAAAAAAACCATGAAAAAGAAACAGAATGATCTTGTGGGCTTTCAGAGTGAAGAAGAAATGGCAAATTTTCAAAGAGCTTGCATGATAGAGAAGTGGATGGAGAAAAAGGTGAGTGAAAAAGAGGTTGTTAGGAGAAAATCCACTGCTGATTTTGATAGTAAATCAAGATACGATAGTGGGAATACTGGGAATTCTTTGTACTTGAATTCGAGTTCGAGTTCTTCGGATTCGAGTTCCGGTGGCAGATTTTCATCCTCAGAAGCTGAATCTGTTCATGTAGTTTCATCAAATACTTCTTGTTATGGCTTGCAAAAGCCTAAACCGATTCGAACAAGCGTTACGGCTTCTGAAAAAGAAAAAATCAGCAAGTATGATAAAGTGTTCGATGACAATACTTGTCACCAAAAACATAAGAATGAAGGAGGATTTATGAAAACGAAATCTAAAGCTTCGAAATTTTATGGGGATTTGAAAAAATTTAAGCAGCCAATTTCCCCCGGAGGAAGACTTGCTAGTTTTTTGAATTCACTTTTCACTGCAGGAAATGCTAAGAAATCCAAGATTTCATTAAACGGAGCTTATGATGATCATTCTTCGACCGTAAAGTCAGCAAATGCATCAACATGTTCATCAGCCTCTTCGTTTTCGAGATCATGTTTAAGTAAGACTCCATCTTCAAGGGAAAAACCGAATAGTGGTACAAAAAGATCGGTTAGATTTTATCCTGTAAGTGTAATTGTTGATGAAGATTGTCAGCCATGTGGGCACAAATCTTTGCATGAAGATAAACAAAATTTGGAGCCTACGAAAAGTAGAATCAAAAGTTCCATTAATGATGAGCTCATGCTGCATGTTATGGAGAAGAATCGCCGAGTCGAGGAGGCTGCAAGGGATTTATTGAGGAATTATCAGAAGAAAGTGGAGACTGAACTCGACCTTAGAAAAACCCTCATCAAAAATCAAGTTCTTGGCAATCGAGAGCAAGATTTAGAGGAAGATGCGGACGATGACGATGATGCAAGTTGTGCAAGTTCCGACCTTTTCGAGCTCTATAATCTTTCTGCCATTGGCATGGAGAAGTATAGTGAAGAATTACCAGTGTATGAAACTACCCATCTTGATACAAATCGAGCTATTGCAAATGGTTTGTTATTGTAAAAAAAAAAAAAAAAAAAATGTCTTAGAAGTATTTGTATTTTATTATCATGTGATTGGTTTGGGGGTTTACTAAATCAAGAGAAATTGTATTTCATTTTTGTAATATAGTTAATCTTCGAATCCATTTCTTCTCTCTTCTTTTGATAAGGGCATGTATATCGTTATTCTGATATGACTAAAGAAGAGATGCACACGAGATGTTTGTTTGCTCTTCAGTCTAATGTTGTCGTTGAGGGGGCCCGAGTTGAAGAAAAGTAGAGAATATGAGATAGCTTTTTTACAGCCAAGATGATGAGAAGTGAAAACAAAGCAAAGGAAGATCTTCTTTACATCTCAATCCACATTACTTTTGTGTGTGTGTGTTTGTGTGTGTGTGTGTGTGTGTGTGAGAGAGAGAGAGAGAGAGAGAGAGAGAGAGAGAGAGAGAGTTTAGGCTTTTACTTTTTCTTGAATTGGGGGGGTCTATTTTGCTTCAAGTTCAAGATGTGGCTACATTTTCACCATAAATATCTGCAGCAAGAGTTGAAAAATTAAAATGGATGCTTTTATTTATGAATTAATTCTCTTTTGAATTCGAAATTAATTTTGAAAGAAAACTTATACTGTTATTAGTTTCACCTTTTGGGTGGTGCTAACAATAGTCAAATGAGGAATTATGAAGATAAAGAGGAATAAATCAAAGATTGATGGCTGGTCTCCAAAAGATTAAGACACCAGAATCTATCCTTAGATCTTTGTTGGGTGGCCAGATTAGTCCTTTACCAACTAGCATAAGAAACGATTTTACATTATAATAAATATTTTGTCAAGAAATCACTACTAGAAAATTGACTACAGCGTGCAGTTACTCGTATGTGTATAACTCGTTTCTATGATATATGAAAGTCGAATAGTCTGCAAATGACTCGTAAACTTGTCTATATAATCATGCAGTTAAAGTAGAATACTATTTACTTGTGAAATAATGAAGTTCGACACAATTAACACATAGAAGGGGAATTAATAGGTGAAAAATGCGGAATTTAAATTTACCAATTATTATTAGCAACAAATCACAAATAATAATTAATCTAGATGAATTCATATCCAATCTATCCTATGTTAAATTGTCACGGTTTATAATTAAATGACACCAATAATTGATCATAGAGAAAAAATCATTGCAAGGGATCAAAAAACTCCCAGCCTAAGCCAGTAAAATCGATGAATTGACATACGGTATGGTCCAGACTTGACTAACTACTAGTACTCTCTGACCTACTTCATGTAATCACCAAGGCTCTTCTGGACAACATACTCCTACACCAGCTCCTGATTTTCTGAAATTGTCTATCTTATGTGGATCATCAAAATATCCTCATTCTTGTCCTACCAGAATTCCAATTTCCTTCTCGATCTTCGGAAATCAGATGGATTAAACGGAATTGGGTGGTTTGGTGTTTTAAGAATTTGGATTCATGTTTTCTAAAATATGGTTGATTGATCTCAAAGAATAGAATTCATGTACACACACACACACACACACAAAAGTTATATTCCATCCATACTTGTGGTTGATTATTATATTCTTCCCAGAGAACACATTTTGGAAATCTTAATGAATTCTATACTTTGAGATCATATATATATATATATATATATATATATATAGTAGAAGGTGTTTAGGACTCAAAAAGCTATTTTAATCGTGAAACAGATTTTCCCCTTACATAAGGTCCAAGCTAGCATCAAGCGAGATGTGGGCTAGCGATACAGGTTATGTTTTGGATGCTTAAGCATTAGCTTAATGGTCGGCTAGCATTATTCCAGCTCATTTTTCTCTTTGTTCCATATTTGAACCAAAAGACTCCTAATTAACTTGTACAACCTCCCAAATAACTCCTTGACTTTTATAACTCTTTTATAACCTTAGTTTTGTCAAAAGAATAGCCAATTACAATAAAACCTATTGAACGACCCTTTTTACATTTTGCGACAAAACTAAGTATTACAAACCAAAGTAAAACTAAACTAACTACCCATAGTCATATTGATGCGATTGTAAATTGCTTTCTTTGTTAAACATGTTTACTGAATTCAACAACTAAAATGCCAAGTGTAAAAATGCGTGAAATGGTTAAGGAATTATAGCAATTAAGACATAATATCATAATCATGCTAGTTAGATTAAGATTACAATATCAATGTTAATCAAAACACCAACAATATTGATATCACAAAACATCAAAATTCAAAATAGCTAAGCACATATGTGAAGCAACAAAATGATATGAAATACCAATGTAATCTCTCTCTCTCTCTCTCTCTCTCTCTCTCTCTCTCTCTCTCTCTCTCTCTCTCCTTCCCTTTTTATCACATATGGCAAAGGGAGTGCAATTGATATTTAACACACAACATGATAACTCAAAAATGCAATTGACTTGTACAAGTATAATCAATGAACAACAAACTCTTCCACACTCTCAGTTCAAGTCTAAATAGAGTAAATTATATAAGTGACCCATTTGTGTAGAGTGGTACTAATTCCTTGTGAACAAGACTTCAAACCTCAAATTCGTAAAAAATGACATGCTGAAAAATCACTGATGAATGAGTTTATTCCTTTAACAGTGAAAGTCAAACCCATAACAACTAGGACCTTTTAAACAATGGAGCTCATTTTTCATGTATAAATATTTCTTTCCCCCTAAATTTAACCATATGTAATTTTTTTTGTTTTAACATCTTATGTGCAGACTCTTCTTCATTAAGCGATTAAGATGACCTTTATAATGAACTTTAGGTCGATAACTTCTAGTCAGATGATCATAGGGCATTAAGGTTTGATAAACCCCTCAAACTTAATTGCTCAAGTCAAACAAGCTTTGAACAAGAGTAAAAGATAAATCAATTTATCTTTTTAGGGAATATACTAAAGTTTAGGTCAACTAGTTAAAGATAAAATCGTGTTCAAGGTCACCTCATCATGCATATGACTGCCATCATAAGTCTCACACATGCAGTCAAGATTTACTCACAATATCTTAGTGTATGCAGTATAGATGGTACATGAAAAAATATATACTAAGTACTCCACATAAAACCTAAAAAAGCAATGGAAACTACGCTACATATCATCAGTAGTTTCAAAAATTTCCTTTGTTTTATTATTATTTTTTTATTATCCATTTGAAAAAAAAAAAAAAGATGAATAGATAAGCTACGACCATTCTGGCATCAACTTCTTGTGGAAAAGATCGTCCTTAAATGACTTGTGCTTGTAACTAGATTGCATTAGAAGGTTCGGACTATAATCTTGTATCAATTTTTCTACATTTTACATCTTCTTGTTGCTTTTCATAGAATAGCTAGTAAATCATATTAAACAAGTAAACAAAAAAGAATAAACAAAGAATGAAATGCACGTAAGAATGAATGAACACAATGAACTAGCACATGTATGCACCAAAATACCTACTCATTAAGGGACACAAACACTTTTACCTTCAAAAGCACTGTGATCAGATTTGTAAACTCTCACATCACTTTTCTTACCGCAGACTTCCTAGAAGTAGAATTAATCCTAGTCAATTGTGTCATGAACTTGGTCAAGTGACTAACCTAATTAGTAAGAAAGTCAACCAAGCTAGAGATATTTTGACTTCTAGTTCCATTAAAAAGTTTGTGACACTTAGGCTTTGTGTCCCCTAACTCACCACAATTGTGACGTGTAGGGATAAACTTAGGTCCAAATCTACGTGGTTGCTGATATTGATTTTAAAGCTGGTTGGTCATGTATTGCCTAGTATACCTCTGTCTTGAGATACACTTGTTCTTGGGTTTAGGATTCGCAACATGTCTAGGCTGGTTGGTGGCAGGGACAAAAGTAATCTTGGAAGTACTAGTAGTGTTATGATCAATCTGATTATATCCTAGACCTCTCATATTCCAACAAGCTTGTTCAACACTAGAATATTCTCAAGTTTGTAAGATCTACTCAAGAAGAAATGGTGTTGAGTATTAGATTTCTCCAGATCGCTCAACTGAACCTTAGTCTCCATAGATTCATTCACAACATTAACTCACTAAGGCTTTTAGTGGATTTCTCAAGATCATAAAGGTCTTAACCTTCGTCTTTAAGGACTCATTCATGGTATTTGACTTATTAAGGCATTTGGTAGACTCCTGAAGATTAGATATAAGTCTTTTGCTCTTTAGCTCAAGTTCATTAACCTTCTTAAAGATGGTTCTATTAATCATTTTCACTTTAAGATTCTCATGTAATAATTGTACATAAGCCTCACGAATATCTTTCCTATCTTCAGAATCTTTCTCAAAGCGTTGAATTTGTTCTCCATCTTAAGCTTCTCACTCTTCTTATCAAATTCCCTCCTAACCCTAGAAGCAAAAACCATATAGTTATCACCATAAAAATTGGACTTCTCACTTTGATTATCCAAGTTAGATTGGTCATTAGTGACAGAAGCGTTCATACATTTGCCTATGATTTTCTTATTGTTAGGGTATTCATTCCTAAAGGGTCCAAAATCTTGACACTTATGACATTTAGCAAACTAAGATTTCTAAACATCCTAATATTGATCTTCTTTTCTAAACTCACTAGGGGCACCTCTATATCTTTCGTTTTTCAAAATTCCTTAACAAAACAAACTACTCCTCGTCATTAAGGGTCTCAGTATTAGTAGTCATATTCTTCTTCCCTAACAGTGTTCAAGGCCATAGGCTTGTTTTTCTCAGGTAGAGATATGGTGAGTTCATGAGTTTGGAGAGGTCCAACAAGTTCCTCTATCTTACCTGCATTTAAGGATGGCAATTAGGCTCATAGGCTAGGGACACCCGTGGCTCATCTCAAAAAAAGCTTGAGCCGACCCGACGATCCAAGGGCCAACTCATAAAAAAAAAGAGATAGTAGCTGCCTTTAAATAGGCAGTGTGCCGCCTGCTGCCTTTAAAGGTAGCTGTCGCTACCTATTTAAAAGCAATTGTCTGGGAAGCTAAAACCAAGATAAGATGATGCTAATAAAAAAAAAATAAAAAAAGAAAAGAACAAAAAAATCGAGCCACCTCAACAGCTTGGCTCGATAAGGCCCGAACCGAAAGCTTGGGTTGAGTCTCAAATTTTT